CCTGGTTCTCCATTTACCTCTGTGGTAACCCTTTTGAGTTTCTGTTTCCTCTGATTCTTCCTCTGCACCTTATATGGTGGTGTTTCCCCCACAAGTTTACTTTTTTTTTTTAAAGAGAGAGAGAGAGAGAAAGAGAGAGAGAATTTTAATATTTATTTTTTAGTTTTCAGCAGACACAATATCTTTGTTGGTATGTGGTGCTGAGGATCGGACCCGGGTCACATGCATGCCAGGCGAGCCCGCTACCGCTTGAGCCACATCCCCAGCCCCCACAAGTTTACTTTTTATAAAAAGTTTTCTTTATAAAATCCTCCTACAAGTGACCAACCTACTCCCATGATTTTAACAGCCCCACAAATATACAGAAATTGTTCTAAAATGCATATGTCCAACGGAGACCCCCATCCTGAACACTGAACTCCTACTTCAGACTCTAAGGAATCCTTAAACTCAAAAGTTTCTATAGCCTATCCCTCTACTCAGTTAGTGCCTGCATCGCTGTTCAAGAAAGTAATGCTAATTGCCGCCTCTCTACCACCCGCCACCCTCCACCATGTAACTAATCCCTACAAGCTGGTGATTACACCACAACAGTTCTCCAAATGGCCCCACTCATGAGGCCACTGCTCCATATGAGGTCTTCATCATCTCTGATCCAAGCTTTATCCAAACAGCCCATGTTCCTCCCTTTCCTTCTCTGTCAACCCACTCCTCACACTGCTGCTGTTTTTATTGTAAAATTCTGTTCTGAGTAGTTTATTCCTGTTTCACAGAAAACTTTCACTGACTTCCTGCTTCCTGTAGGATAATTTTGAAACTTTCATCAGCGCATAAAAGAGTGTATCCACTTGGAAGTCTTCTGTTGCCCTTGGTCTCCTCATGCCCCCTGCTCCGGTCTACACTCCAGACACAGTATCTCCTTTTCTAYCCCCAAAGGTCTCTGTGTGTGCCATTTCCCAATCCTTCCCCCACAGCCTCCCCTTCTGGCCCCATTGCCACAATTCTACTAGTGAAAGAGATTCTATTACTTAAAGGTCACCTCCATTGTGAAAGCGTTCCTGTTACAGGCCCCAAAGAATCAATCCTGCTGTTTTCTCATGATCGTTATGACAGTATATTGAGTTTGAGGCACACTAAATGCTATGTGCTCTATTCTGAGAAAGACTCTTCAGTAGGTTCTTCTGCTGAAGAGTGTGAGGCCTAGATCAGAGAAAAGAATCTCTGACTCTGGCTGCTAAGCCCATGGCTCCTTCTAATATTCCACACCTCTTCCTTCTCCCAGAGTTCATTGAATACACTTCTCTGGATGTGTTCACATCAGCAGTAGCAGTAGCATGATTATGGCTAGTGCAAACTGTGAGCCTTCTTTGTGACAGTATGCAAATAACCCACATTRTCTCAAATAGCCCCAAACAAACTTGACACGAGTGGTCTCATTATCCCTATTTTAGTTACTGAAAATGTATCTGAAAGATTAAGTTTTTCTTATCTACAAATGGCAAAGTCCAGTCTCAGCCCCAGAAACTGYGCTGCAGAGCTAGATATCTCAGCCACAGCATCATGGTGACACACACTATTGGTATGGTTCACTTTCTGTGTCAGTGACTCACCCAAGTGCTTAGAGGCATCTGGTTCACCATGCCCCTTCGGTCCACTACCTGGGCTTCTCCAATTACTTCATATAGGATTCTCTGGTCCTGACAATTTATCTCAACTATGATTTTTTTTTTTTTTGTATTTTGTCTTCTTTTCCCAATAGAAATYCTCCCACTACCTCCGTAGGGGCTTATTTTCCATCTCCATGTCTATGGCCAGATCATATTTGAGTTTTCACTTACTTCTGTTACAGTTTGTTAAACCAAGCCCTGCTGCACACTGAGATATGGCCATGATTACCAGAAAACTCTYTCTGTGTATTTGTATCCCACGTAGGTGGAAAATTTTCCTCGTGTCCACAGAAGGGAAAAAGCATGGCCATGTTGGGTGTGTGCCTTTGATCTCAGCTTCGGTTGGGTCACACATTGTGCATGTTGAGTTCTATGGATTATAGGCTTTACCAGAGAAAAAGCTGTACCTGGCACCATGCAGAGAAGGTAAGGGAACAAGAGGCAGAGAAATGCCCCCAGCAAGCAAAACTAGGAAGAAACAGTTTGCATCTGGTCCATTAAATGTCTCCTAGAGACCCTCTTTTTGCTCCAAGGTTTATTTAACCTTTATTCTTGAAGCCATTTTAGGAAAGTATAGGGATGCTGGTTATTTTCTAGTTATTTTCTTTCTTCAAACAGCACACACCTTCTCATTGTTTTGCTTCCAATTACTGCTGTTGAAAAGTCAGCATTGTCTGCCACTTCCTGAAAGGTTAGTCTTTCCCCACCTACCCACTCCCTCGACTGACATTAACATTTGTTATTTTTCTTTAGTTTGCTAAAGTATGTTTTTCTATTTATCYTGCTTGGCTGTTTGGGTGATTTTATAAAGTAATCTATCCTTGGTTTTAGTAAAAGTCTTAGTCATTAGCACTTCAAATATTACTTTTGCTCCATTTATCTCTCTTTTCCTTTTAGGATTCCAACTGAATGCAAGTTAAACCTTTTCTATATGTCATCCATGTATCTTAACCAGTTTTTCTGTATTTTTAATCCTTGTGATTATGCTTTTTTCCATGAGTCTTCTGATTTTTCATCCAGTTCATTATTTATTCAGCTCAGTTCCTTCTGCTGAGCCTTCTTAATTTTAGCTATTGCATTTATCAGTTCTAAAATTTTCATTTTTTTTCTCGTACTTACAATATCTCTTTTTATAGTTTGCAATTCCCTGATTGAAGGACATGGAATAACAACCTCCCACCCCTACCTGGGAGAAAGGATGTGTCCTGGATGGGGAAGGCAAACAATAGGCTCTGGGCTCTGGACTTTCATCCTTTCCCAATAACAATGAGCCTGGTGTGGACAAGGCAAATGGTGGGCTTTGGCTTCTGGACTTTCATTCCAGTAACAATGGGTTTCGAACTTTTACAACTGATTTCCTGATTCAGACTTTCAACCTGCACAACTAATTTCCTGACTGCCCAGCCAGCACATCCTAAGTCTCTAATGATTAAGTCACACTAAACATTCTGCTATGATTAACTCTCATTAAACTCCATAAAAAACAGACCCCTTTTGTAACCAGCTGCCATTTTCTCCCCTGCAAATGTGCCATTCTATCAATGCTTAATAAAGAATCTTGCTGATCTGCTGAGAGTCTGCTCTTGTTTTGGTTATTTTTGCTTACACTGATGAAAGTTTAATTTTCACTTTATGTATATGAGCTTAGTGATCACAGTCGCCTAGTCACCTGTGCCTGCTGGTTTCAGTATCTGGCAAATCTGGGTGTGCTTCCATTGTCTGTTACTGGTGCCATGTCTGGTTTCTATTGCATTGTCTTCTGATAAATGTGAACATGGTTGATGGTCTGTTGGCTATTGACCTAGGATGATTTTATCTTTCTTTAAAGATTTTAAATTACTTTTTCCAGAAACCCCATGCCTACCTGCATGAGCAATACACAACACCCTCTTATTATTCCAGGGCTTGAGGTGTGTGGGGTCCACTTGGGTGACTTGAAGCTGGGCTGTAGTCTCAGTGAAGGCTGCTTTGCCTTAATTTTACCTAGGATATATATAATTTACCAGTACTTTCACCATACTCAGACCCCGGACTCAAATTTTAGTCCTCTTTGCTCTGAGATGCTCTCAGAAGTGTTGCTAACCTCTTTTGGATAAGCAAATGCCCTATATGCAAAAACAGTTCCCAATATTATATTCATATCTCTCCCAGATATAAACTCCAAAATTTCACAGTACCTTATGAGTTCTTTGCTGCTTTTAGAAAGATGCTGTTAAATGTCATCTAAAATTTTAAATTGTCCTTTTTAGGTAAATTGGTCCCAGTAAGCATTATGGAAAATGGATGTCCTACACTTTAAGTTTTCATGATGCTTTGTTAACTTAGACTCTGAATACTCATTTAGAAGGTGAATATACATTCATAAGTCTACTAAACTTTTATTAATGATTTTATAAATTAACACCTAAAATATGCTTGAAACAGACTAGACTGCTTTGAAAAATATGAAGAAAAAAACCCCCTCAAAATTCTCGAGTTTTCTTGAATTAAAAAGAAACCAAACCAGTTGGAGTTTGTGTAGGAAACTGTCAGGAAGCAAAAATAGAAAGATCCCATTAACCAAGAGAATCTGGTTTATATTTGAATGAAATGTCTATAAATACAAATGAAACAAGGAAAATGTTTTGATAGAAAATCAGCAGCCAAAAGTTTTAAACTGAAAACAAAAAGAAAACCTCATTTACTCTTACATTAAACACAAAATAGTTTCAGGAAAGAATGCTTTAAAGTTTAAACAGCAGAAAGTTTTTATCATTTGACCAACTAATAGCCATATCCCATCTCCCTACCTGTTCTGCCCTAGTAAAAGACTGATTTGTTAAAGTAGCAAATCAAGATATTCAAGAAAAGCAGACCCCTCTGAGAACCCTAGAAGCTTAAAAATAATTGATCTAAACTAGTTATTGATAAAATCTATTCCACTATACTTTCTGGATTCCCTTTGAAGCCAATTCTGGCCAATAAAATGTAAAGGGAATTTTTGAAAACGTTTGCTTTCCTGATTTAAAAAAAAAAACATGCAAAAGAAGAAACAGATAATATTCCTTCTTCCTTTCTCCAGATGTGAACACAGGTAAGATGTTAAAAAAAAAAAAAAAAAAAGAAAGGCTGCAGCCATTTTTTGGTAATRAAATAATAAACACAACAAAAGGCAAAAATGATAAAGAAGAAATGGAACTGCTAAACCCTGCTTTATTATTGGGTAAAAAAAATGGCTTTATATGTTAAGTTGTCAATAGTTACCTTTGAAAATACCATCACTAATACATTCACTAATGTACTCACATGGTTTGAGTTTGACTTGAGACAGTGCTTGAAATTTGTGCCACTTACCAAAATGCAAGAGTCTGGAGGTTCAAGATCAAAGTCAGTGAAGTTCAAGAGAACGCGGTGATTTTTCTCAACTTGAATGACCCAAGAACACTCAGTGTTACTCCTATAGTGACTGGGGTAATTGGGAGAATGGATTTCTCCATTGGGAGCCTGGAAAATCCCACCACAACCTGCAAGKGGGAAACCCAATTCGACAATGAGAGGAATCACTATTGCTTAAACARGCCTATTACCTGGCTGTATGAATCAATATGCCACTTTGCTTGACTATTAGTCTTACTTGGTTCTATGCTAAAAACTTTGAAGAACTGAATATTTGCATTAATTCATTCATCCCATTGAACTAAAGAGACATAGATAATACTAAGGTAATGTTTCAACACTTTAAATACTGATACCAAAAGTTAGTCAAAATAATAAGGAAAAATAAGTCCAAATGAAATCATGTTGTCACAAAGCCATGAGATGCCTTCTAGTTGTACTTTAAAATATAGCATACTAAATGTATGCTATGTCAAGATCATTGTACTGTCATGTGTAACTAATTAAAACAAATTAAAAAATTAAATTAAATTAAAAAAATATATATTTATATCATAAAATATATATATATCATAAAATATATATATATATTTATATCATAATATATATATATATATCATACTGTAAGAATACTCACTTCCAAAATATTTGACAATCTAGTAGCATATGATTTTGTAAATAATTTAATGCTTGCTTTTTACAATTTTAATATTCTAGATACAGTACAATTACTTAGGTTGTTTTTAATTCCTATAATGTTATCCAATTCCTGGTAATAAAATCCCTATCTATGACCATCATGCCTTTGATTTATGATAACATAAAATAATAGTAAAAAAATTCAACACTTATTTTCTAGTAATTAAGAGTCATCTTGGGGGTAATCTAGACACCGTGTATTATAAATTTATACATAATTTACTTAAGACAGATTACTATATTGCCTTAGATTTGAAAAAGTGAGGCCATAAATTAGGTAGCCTGGGGCAATAACTCTGTTTGGCATTCCTAGCTGTGGACTTTGGGCAAGTGACTGAATTCCCTAAGCTTCTGTTCCTTCAATGGTTAAGACAGGATATTAATAGGCTACGCTCAGAGTGTGGTTATAAGGATTAAATGGCATAATCTTTGCAATAGAAAAGTATCTGGCACATGGTAAACATTCCACCAATGCCACTATTAGTAGTATTAGTAGCARTTGTATAAGTTAATGCCTATTAAAATATTTTGTGCCATAATAGGTAATTGATTTAGACTACCTAAGATCTTGGGCAGAAAGATATTATAYAATGCATGGCAATTTCTCAGAACTGGCAAATTTAATGTTTACCGTTTTCGCATTTGCCACAAATCCCAAGGTCTATACTATGGCACAAGGTAATTTGCCATTTATCAATGTCCAGATCTGAGGACAGAGAATAGGCACAAGTCCCTTGGCAACTGAATGCATGTCGCCAGTCACCCTAACTGTTTTTACAGTGAACTTGCAAACTTGTATCTTGTTTTCGCTTAGGCGGTGACATGTAGATAGATTTTTCTGGAAGAGTATATGTCAAAGCAGTGTTTGTCATTTGGGACATCACAGAATCATCAGGGTGTAACTTTAACACATTCCTCTAATCATTTCATAAAATTTAACAAGGGCTCAGCATAAGTATGGCAAGGGTATTTCCTTCGGTTCACTCACCTCCAGGGACTGCTTGCCATGAGGCATTGAAGCCTCTCCCATTTATGGAGCTGTCTGTCTTAAATCGGATGGCTAGTGCATTTCCAGTGCTGGAGACCTGCATGGGGTTCACAGATGATCTCTGGTAGCACAACTGGGTTAATCTGGGAGAGTAGAAATCAGGGCCTCCATAGACCTAATACGGGGATGGAGAAAAAAAGGACTTAAGAGACATATTTAAGCAATTTCAGCCCTTCCCCTAGCTCCTTGTCCTCTTGAATCTATTATGATTAGAGACTGAAATGTAAGCCTCCTTGGGTGGGAATGAACTATAACCCTGAGCTGAGTTTTCAAAAGCACTCCCTTTGCCTTAGAACACACAAGTTGAATCACCCACAAAATGCCAGAACTGTAGAGGTGGACTGAGTAGATTATTCCAGAATCTTCCCTATTTCCTCCCTCATTCCTTCTTCCTCGTGTTTCTGGAATTTACTGCTTTCTATGGCAGAGACACTTCAGCTAATATAGTCTTAAGTCTGATTTTCCAACTCTTATGGGCACATAGGAATAATAGTAGAATTTCTTATGTTTATGAAATTTGGGTTCACTGAAAACTAGTACTTTTCTAGTTATATGGTTAAGAATTTTCATCTACTCTGCCTACTGAATATTTTATAAGATTAAGCATCAAAATATAATGCATTTGCTTCTTCAGAGGAAGTGTGCTCTGGAGTATACTCACAAAGGAAACACTATAGATCTTCCTGTGCCTGCTCCCAGGAGCTTGAACAAGAGCCTCCTTGAGAATTACCCCAGACTCTGTAGTTCCTAGATGACTCCCTCTACCTCCACCATTCTTGGCTTCAGACCTCCTACACTCCTCCAAATTTGTCCAACTCTCAGTCTGACTGAGATCCAACAACTCCATGACACATTCCTCAGAAAAGGGTCCCTTTGGTCCCATCTCCATGAAACCTCACACACTGGTTTCTGAATCTTCCCTAGATTCTTCTCTAGTATGTGTGAAATCAAAAAGAAGATACTGACCCCCTCATCTTCAGGTCTTGTCAAACTTGAATTTATACGGAAAAAGACCACTGTGGACAAAAGTTTTCAAGTATATTGGCAACTGAGTCCTTCAGAACTGCACACACACACACACACACACACACACACACACTTCACACACACTTGCCATGTACACAAATCAACACTCAGAGCCAAAGCCAGGAAAGGGGCTCTCTGGGAGGTCTGTGCTCGGTGTCCCCCCACACCTCTTCCATCTGGGCAGCTCTCCCCCATTCCTCAGGGCCCCCCCCCCAGCCCACCCTCAGACCCTCTGCTGACTGATAGGGAAACCACTCAAGTGTTCTCTGGGGAGAGAGAGAGAGTGAGAACAAGAAGCCTGCTTTGGGGGTGGAGTACATGATTGGAATCTATAATGACTTCTTTGTCTGATTAATTCCCCCCAGCCATGTGGGGAAAGGCCAAAATGAATGCAACTGCTGTTTCCCAGAGGGCTGAGCACAAGGACTGTAATTGCAAAGGAATGAAGCAAGCCCACTGCTTCAGGCTTATTTGTATTAGAAGGAGCTGATGTTTGTGTGGCCCCCCTAAGTGCCATCAAAAGCAGGACTTCAGGAAGAGCCTCATGTGGCCCTTTACACATACACATATGCAAATGGAAGGACAGAGAGGGCTTCTTGTTTAGGGTCCTTCCCCATTTTCAAGAATTCCCTATCCCACCCCACCCCCAGAGCAGGCAGCTGACCGTGTGTGCTCCCAATCATCCAAGCCCAATAACCCGCACACTTTTAAAGAGAACGCTGAGCACTCATGCTAAGTCCTAACAATGAAAACCTGCACGTCGGCAAAATATTCTTTTGTTTTCTCTGCTCATGAGTCCCCTTGAGATCACAAACATAATGGGTATGAGTTGGCTGGCCTAGAAGCCTCCAGAAGAATAAACACCACCAATTTTGACATTCTTTGCTTCCCCCTCTCGCTGGACTGAACTCACAAACTAGCACCGCACAGAGAACAGCCAGCGCTCACTGCCCACACCAAGCAATTGTCCTGGTTCATTACACCAAGGAGTGGACTTCCTTTCCTGCAGGATGCCAGCTCAGGCTCTCTGCAGAGCTTTCTCAGAGACCSAAGTAAAATCAGTGTTTCCATGGCCAACACAATAGAATGGTGATTTGGGCTTTCACAAATAAAACCGATGGTTACCGTGTGGCCCAAAGAGGAAAGAGATGGAAAGAATTTCAGGGTGTGGTTCATTCCACTACAGCATATGACTACACTTTGGGGGAAAAAGAATTGGTCTGATGATCAGAGATTAAAATGTGTTTTTAGCAAATGTTCAGGAGGGAGAACATTTCAAAGCCTACGGTTTTAATCTGTTTTGAACATTTCTTTCTGCTCTGTTAGCTCCATTTATTGTTACAATCAAGTCAGCATTCCSGAGTTATGAGTAACCACACGGCTATTGCTTTAGGCAACTGACCACTTTCTGGATGGTGATTTTTGAGGGAAAAAATGGTTCTTGGTTATATCTGGTGAATCCCATAAGTCTGATACCTGGTGACAGTTAGGTCCCACTTGATTGCACTCAGTGGATCAGTGTGCAGCTGAGACATGGGCTGCMTTTCTAGACCAAGCATTTCTAGACCTATAACAGGGATATAAACTTTGAAACCTACTGCTCACATGCTATCAGTGACTAAGGAATGAGGGATGGAAAAAAATCATTTTATTGTTTTTAGCCCAGATTTACCACAGTACTTTCCATCTGAGTCGAACATTTCAGAGAAGCAAAAAGGTTTTGAACAAAAAGTCAAAGGGTTGTTCCTTTCAGCCTTAAGAAGAAAACTTTCCTCACATATTTAAGGACCTTGAGATTTTCCTCCAAACTCTGCTCTTAATGGGAYTTGGGAGACCACTGCAATGTCAGCTTGTCCTAATAAAAATAAACCCCAAGCAGATTGCTRCGTTTTCTCAGAAACATTTCTGTGCAGGCATGGGACCTCTCTGAATGCTGCCYGATGCCCCCTAGTCCCTGATTTTTGTCTCTCTGTTATTTAGGCTGTTTGCAAGGAATGACCTCTCTCTCTGCTTTCTCACGTAATGGGTGTGACAAAAAGCACAATAAGCCCATTTACATTTTGCCAAGTGGGCAACAATCACATGCACTTTGGAATATGAGAGTGAAAAGTTTGGAACATGCACATTGAGGTGGAGGATCTGTTGCCAGCCCTCTGTAAGTGTTAAGGGGTTTTATGTAACCAGTAATATCTGTGTTGGCAAGGGAAACCATTTGAGTGCTCCGTATGGGAGTGTTAGTCCAACTTCATATTGAGAGTGTGAACATAGGGAGCTGTATTCTCTCCTACAACCTTTTTCTACTCTGAGATGGAATGATTTGGCAGCACACTGGCTTTGAAGACAAGGGAATGGGTTTGATCCAAGACCTTCCAGCCTTGTACCCAATTCCATTTCCTGTAGCAATGTCCTGCTRCAGAGAGACTTGTGCAACTCAATGTAATTCCTAGTGACTCTCCATCCACTCATGGAGGGGATGATTTTAGAAGCCCATTTCTTTTCAAGGTGAGAACGTGTTTTGTAATCAGATAAAGTTTTTTAAGTGTTAAGGTTTTCTATGAGGTACACCCTACCCATTTTAATCYCTTGCAGACTGAAAACATCTATGGTTTTTATACTGATTTTCAGGGAGCATTGAGTAATAACCAGGTTCACTTTCTATCCCTTTCATTCACCATTCACGTGATCATGCAAAAGCCCATTAATTTAAGCCTAGGTTTTGACAACTATTAAATGGGGACAAAATAATCCCCCATSGAATTATTCAACATTCAAATAAGAATATAGCTGTAAAAGTTCCTTTGTAAATCATTAGTATGGATTATTTCCATGTGCCAATCAGACAATTGGATACTTTCATTCAATCCACAAACATATTGAATGTTTGCTTTTACCACGTGAAGGATATGAAAAATAAAATCCCCCAAGAAAAGGGGAAAATAGATCCTTATCTTTCACCTTACACAAAAATCAACACAAAATGGATCAAAGACCTAGGAACTAGACCAGAAACTATGCAACTCCTAGAAAAAAAACACAGGGTTAACACTCCAAAATATAAGTGTAGGCAATAACTTTCTCAATAGAACCCTTAAAGCTCAGGAAATGATGCCAAGAATTAACAATTAGATGGCATTAAATTAAAAAGCTTTTGCATAGCAAGGTAAACAATTAAGAATG